AGCAGAGGGGCCTGACTCAGGGGGTGGCGAGGAACCGCTGGCCAGACACTCCAGCCTGCCCGCGGGGGCCAGTCGCCTCCTTACTGCCCCACAGAGGGGGCAGGCCCGAGCCACTCACTGTTATTGTCACTGCCCCCTGACTCCATACCCACTCCTGGTCTGATGTTACCCACCCTCCAATGTGTCTTGCTCTCAGGAAAGGGCTCCCCACGCTTCTCACCTGCATCTCTAACACGCACTCCTGTGGCCACTGTGGCCCCAGGTTTCTCAGAGGATGGCTCCTGGTCCTCCCACACCTCTCCCTCAGCCTGAGGACCCTCTGCAGGCCACAGAGACACCCTGGTTCCCACTCCCCACCTCTTTTGGTAGCTTGCTCCCAGCCTTTGCTTAATGTGGGCACAGACCCCTCCTACCCCTTTCCCCATTGACCCTGGGCCTGCAGAAAGTGTGGGACACCCCTCAGGAGCAGCCTTGGGGGAGTGATGGTAACAGGATCTTGCATGCCCCCTGCCCAGCCCTGGATGCCCCGCCTGCCCGCCTGCCATGAATCAGCAGCTCAGTACCATCTGGACATGCCAAGTGGCTTTACACTTGGTGACCAGCGTCCTGAGCTGGCGGGTGGGTGGCCTGAGGCCCTGCTGGGTGCAGAAACACAGCCTGAGTGAAGGCCACTTGCTACCCCCACCCCACCCTGGTACCCTATCTTCTCCAGGAAGTCTCCTCTGCCCCCGGCCTCCTGACAGAGGTGAGGTGGGCAAAGTCCCCATTCTGTGGCCATCCCACCTCCCAACTGGCCTTAGCCCAACTGTGTGGCCAGGGCTGAGGCTCAGGATCAGGCTGTATTCCTGGGGACCCCTGACAGGCCCCATATGTGAGCTGCAGCGAGTGGATGAAAGGGGGCCCCTTTCCCAGGCCATGCACAGCAGAGGTAGCACTGTCATTAGCTAGATAGCCACAGGGCACTCTCCCCATCCCCTTGGGGAGCCTCAGACACCAGCTGATAAGAGGGAACCCCTTTATTGAGTGCCTTGTAACAAGTACTTTACATCTAGGTCATACTGGGGCCCTGTGAGACTGGATGCCACCATAAACCCACTCCCCACGCACAAGGAGGCCCTGAGCCAGGGAGGCACCACACTGACCATAGCTTCCAACCGAGTCCAGTCCCAGGGCTCTAGATGAGCTCCAACTGGGAGGAAGGAAAGGAGGGAGAGGGGGCGGGCAGGATGACCACAGACCCTGACATCCAAGCCTTGGGCTTCAGAGCCACTGGATGGGGGGGATGAGGGAGCATTTCCAGAGTGTCCATGTCTACCTCGAGGCTGATGCTGCCTCCCACCCCTGCCCCAGCTGGTGCTGGGCACTCTGGTCTCAAATACTTGCCATAGCCGCCCTGGGCTATGTGGAAACACACAGGTATCCTAGAGCAGCCAGAGCCCCACCCGGAACACAGCCAAATGCCAGCCCTTTGTGGCACCAGGATGATGAACTCTCCAGGGTGCTGGGTAGTTATCAAGACCCTTCACGGGGCCTCCCTGCCGGACCCACCCCCTCATACTGCACAGACCCTAGTAGGTACCAGCAGGACCCTCCCAGTCCCAGCTCTCAGCCCACAGTTCCAGGCTGAGCAATTCTGACCACTGAGACGCTTTTCTGAGTGTCAGGGACCCCTGCCCACCCCTCCACCAGGGACAGTCCCCTGGACAAGGAGGAGAGAAGGAGAAGGTAGGAACTTCCTTCCTTTGTGTGGTCTTCAGGGACAGCTGGCAAGCAGGGACACTGCATGCATGTGTTGCATGTTCACACCATTCCCTGCACCCCCAAGTGTCCAGGTTCCCTGAGGGTGTGGCATGCAGGCCCAGGTTCCAGCCAGAGTCAGAGCTGCCAGATCCTGGGGACTCTGAGAGGCATCCCTGTGGGGGAGCCAGTGCACTCAGCAGCAGGGGCCAGCTGGAGTGTGGCAGGCAGCTCACTGCTCGATGTCCAGGCTGCCTGGTGGCTGTAACGGCTCTGGGGGCTTGAAGCTCAGGACCTCCTGATAGGTGAGCTCTGGAGGAAGCAGGTTTGATGGGGACTGGGTGATCTGTGCTGCCTGGGCCCACCCTGTCCACCCAACCTATAAGGTCTGGGCCCCATGCCCTCTGAGAATGGCTTCAGTCCTGTGCTGGTAGCCAGAGTCTGTGCTGTGCCACCACCCCACCCTGCACCGCCTTAGCCATCTTTGCTGTCCTACCCAGGGAGGGGACCTGCCCAGCACCCACCCTTCCACTCCTCCATGGTGCGCTCCTTGGCCTCCACGCTTTCATCATAGGGCTCAGCCTCAGGCTCATCATCCGGGTCGTGGTACTGGCTGAAGTAGGCATGGGCCAGGGCCTCTGCTGCGCTGACCCGCTGGTCACTGTCCAGCACCAGCATTCGTTCCAGGAGGTCCACAGCTGCAGAGGGTTGGGGCGGGGCAGGCATCATGAGCTCTGCCTCCAGCTGAGCCCATCCCCCGCCCCACCCCTCTGCTCACCCAGAGGATTGACTCCTGGGAAGACACTCCGGAGGTCCTTCTGGGGCAAGGGTGGCAGGGACTGGATGTATGTCCGAGCCTGGGGGGCACAAGGGCAGGCCTGAGGGAGAGGCCCCAACCTCGGCCGGGGGTGGGGGTGGCTGTGAAGCAACCTTCCCATACACAGTCAGTGGTCCCCACTGGCCTAGCCAAGCGCACCAACAGCAGACCTCCTCTTCTAAAGATCTGGGGGTACTTGTGTGCCCGAAGCCCTCAGATCCCGGCACCTCAGTGCCCATGAGCAGTGTTCGGAACTGGGGTTTTGTCCCCATTGTCCCTGTGCAAAGCCCTGGTGGCACAGTGGTTACATGTTAGGCTGATCACTGCAAGGTCAGTGGTTCAAAACCACCAGCCATTTCCTGAGAGAAAGACAGGGCTTTCTACTTTTGTAAAGAGACCAAGTCTCAGAAACTCCCAGAGCAGTTCTGCTCTGTCCTTCTGGGTCCCTATGAGTCCACTTTGACGCAAAAGTTGTGTGTTTACTTGTTTGTTTTAGTCCACCTTGTGTAGGACTGTCTTCCCCACTCCCCCCATGCTGGATCCCTCTGTGGCCTGTGCTCCCCCATGGCGTCCTGTCACCCCCCCACCCCTCCACCCCACACACACAAAGGCCCTTCCCAGGTACCCTGGGGCTCAGCCAGCAGAGGGGCCTGACTCACGTGCTCTGAAGAAATCTTAGCCAGCACCTCAGGGCTAGGCGTGCCCACCACCTCCATGATGCGCTTCAGCTGGTCGATGTCTGGCTCGCTCAGGAACACCACTGCCCAAGCCAGGAGACCCACCTCCCTGTCCGTGCCCCTAGCCCCCTACGCAAGCACTCAGGAAGGGACCATCCACCCTGCCAGGCAAAGGATACAGTCATTCCCAGGAAACAGAGCCTTTCCCTGCAGCAGCTCTGCCATGATACAGCCCACCGACCAGATGTCCACTGTGGGGGTTGGCCTCCATCAGCAGGCTCCCCCAAGTCCCTCCTCAGGGCGTGCGGGACCACACCAGTCCAGTGGACCTCTGGCAACTCTAGGCCCCAAGGTAGGTGGACCCCTTTTTCCCCCTTGAGCCTCAACTCAGCAGGGGGAGGGGCCAGCTCTGGCTGCAGGGGCCAGGATCACTCCACTTTGCTCAGGTCCCCCTGAAAGTGTGTGCCTCCCCCCACCCCCTGAAGATGTGTGCCTCTCCTTCCCACAGACCCCTGAAGGTGTGTGGCCCCCCAATCCCCTGAGGGTGTGCCTCCCCCACCCTAATCCCTTGAAGGTGTGTGTCTGATGCAGGCCCCAACACTGCCTCTTTGCTTCCCCAGTCCCCCAACCCCCTTAAAGGCATGTGTCTCATGCTGATTCCAACTTGCCGCCCCCCCCCCCCCCTGTCAAGCACCTGTCTGGTTATAGTGCATCCAGTTAAGCATGATCTCTGGCGCCCGGTACCAGCGAGTGGCCACGTAGCCGGTCATCTCCTCCTCTGCCTGGCGGGCCAGCCCAAAGTCCAGGATCTGAGGTGACCATGAAATGTTTTCAGCCTCCACTGGCTGAACCACCGACCCCACCCCCTCTGCCCTGCCCCTGAGCTCGCCTGCATCCCCACCCCCCACACCTGACCCTGAGCTCGCAGTCTTCATTCACCGCCACGTTGCTGGGCTTCAGGTCCTGTAGGGGTGAGGCCATGAACGTAGTGCTAGTGAGATCCCAGAAGACCCCAACCAGGACCCAGGGCTCCCCGCTCACCTACCCGGTGGATGATGCCTGCCGAGTGGATGTACTGGGGGTGGGAGGGGAAAGCACAGTGAGACTTACTTCTGCTCCCACCTCCCCACTCCCGACCCTCTGGCCAGGGCGCCCCGCCTCCCCCAGTAGGGAACCTTCAGCCCGCGTAGCAGCTGGTAAACCAGGAACTGCACGTGCTCGTCGCTCAGCGCCTGGCACTTGACAATGTTGTTCAGGTCTGCACCCATCAAAGTGGTCACCAGGTACCTGGGGTCAGGGCCAGGGGTCAAGCAAGTGTCAGGAGAAGGGGCCGCTGCCCGCCTCTGAGGACACTCTCCCCAGTGGGCCGCTGCCACCAGTACTCACACTTCGCTGAAGTCCTCAATGGACGTGGCGGGAGTAAAAACGTCCAGAAGCCCGATGACCTGGGTGTAGGAAGCGGTTCAGCCTCAAGTTGACCTGGGTCCCGCTCGGGGGCGTTCCCTCCCTCTGACCGGCCTCCGGGGCCTCCAGCTCCGGCTTGCCACCCCCAGTGGCTCCGCCCTCCCAGCGCTCCCCGCACCCATTGGTCCGTCCTGGGAAGCCCTGCCACAAGGCGCTCCACGCCTCCATTGGCCCGCCCGCCTCGCTGGCCCGCCCCCGGCTCACGTTCTCGTGCTTCAGGTGCTTGAGCAGCCGCAGCTCGCGGTACGTCCTCCGCGCGTGGATCAGCGACTGGAAGGGGCGCGACAGCTTCTTCACCGCCACCTTCTGGCGCAGCCGCGCGTCGTAGGCCGAGCTGGAAGGCGGGAGAGTGAGGCAGCACCGGAACGGCCTCCCCAGGGGGGCGCGCAGGGTCCAAGAGGGGACGGATGACCACCCCCTCCATCCACCCCGGCGCCTGGCTCAGATGTGAGCCCTTGGGTAGGGCCTTTGCCCGCCTGACTGAGGGCAAGTGTCCAGCCGTGTCCGGCGGCGAGGGCAGGACTCCGGACAGCCCTCCCTGGCCCAATTCTCTCTGCCTTGCGCCCAGCCAACCCTTACCCTCCTCGAGAGAACCCCTCACCCTTCACTCCTCTACCAGCCTGCGCAGATGCTGGACTGGGCCTAGGAAAAGCCGGGCCAGCTGGCGTGGGAATGACATGCCCCCTCAAGAGTCTCCCTCCCAATGCAGAACCCAAGGCCACGGAACTGATTTTGACCCATGGCGGCCCTGAACAGGGTGGGTTTCTGAGTCTTAATCTTTACAGGAGCAGACAGCCTTATCTTTCTCCTACAAAGCGCCTGGTGGTGTGTTTGAAGTCAACCTAAGGTTAGCAGCCCAAAGCCTAACCCACGGCGCCACTAGGACTCCTTGAGGGCTCGCCTAGGTGCCCGCCCCCCAGCTCACTGGACCCGCAACCCCTCCTTGGGGCACTGGCCCTGGGGATATTAAAAAGTGGCGGAATAGTGGTCAGGCGCGTTTATTGGGCAGGATAAGATGCTCGGCAAAGAAGGGTGGCCTGGGCACACGGGACATTGCCCTTTGACCAGCCCATGCCCTTAACGACAGGCACCAGCCCCTCTCCTAGCTGAGGCCACTGGAGACAGCGGTCCCAGACCCGATCCTCAGACACAAATGGGGCAGGGTCACTCGCCCTCCTCTCTGTCCTTGGCCACCTACTGGATGCTGCGTGGCTGGAGGGGAGGGTACCCTTCCCTCCCCCTGGATTGCCCTCTCCCGAGGAAGAGTGAGTGGCGCCTCCCTTGGGACGACCTCAGGTCCAAACTGCTGGGGAGACACCTCTTGTGACCCAGGTGCTCAGGCGATCTCTGTGGAAGTGGTGCAGGAGCACTGTCCAGGCGCCTGGGACATGGGCGCCTCCCAAGTCCACAGCCCACCCTGCTAATGTCCAGTCACCTGGGAGGGTGAGGGGAGTGGCCCCTCATTACCCGAGTGCGTCTGCGCAGTGGAGTTGACGGAGTTCCCATCCCCAGCTGCTCGCGCGGCACCAGGACTGGGCCTGCCGAGGACAGGCTTCCAGGCAAATGCTCCAGGTGCAGCGGTGACCCACCTCCTCCCCAACCTCAGGATGGACAGACAGTTCTCGGGCAGGTGAGTCCAGCGGGCTCTGCACGTCTCTGAGGCATTCGGGCATTGTCCCCAACTCTCCCCCTGCCCTTGAAGACAGACGCTCTCAACAGCTTGGGAGACGTGGGGGGGAAGTGCTCTTCTTAACGGTCTGGGGCTCCGAGAGCGCTATCTGCCTGCCTATGGCGCGGCGCCACCTGGCCTACACCGGCAAGAACCTGCTGGGGGTTGGGGACACCTCTCCATGTACACCCCCGGGCATCAGCCTCGCTGTCAGCCTCACACATCACTGCCTCAGCCTCAGTCTCATTCACCCCACTGCCCCGGGTGCGGACCCCGGGAACCAGCAACCCCCACCCCCACTCAACCATCTGCCAAGGATCCGGGCCGGACACCCCAGGGTCCAGCTGCGGGGTGGTCACCAAGTCCCGTGGTTGGGACAGTGAGGGGGTGCAGACTCCTCTGCTTGGGTCCCGGGGAAAGGGTCCTCGGGAAAGGGCGAGGTCCGCGCCTTCTCCCTTGTCAAACAAAAGCACCCACCGCAGGACAGGGGGCCCGGCCACACGCGGGGGACCCCAGGTATGGACTCGGATGTTTGGGGGCTGGGCGCCCACCTTCCCGCAGCAGCTGACTCTAGTGTCTGCTAGGACAGTTTCCCGCACTCCCCCCGTGCCTGCCTCCGCCCC